TACTTTTTAAGCTGAGAAAGCATTGGGAAGGGGAAATCAGTCATACAAACTTTGATCACAGTTCGGCTTCTGGGAAAAAAAATACTAAAAAAACAAAGAAAAAAGTAAAACTAAAAATAATAATTCAGTGGAAACCTTTTTTAGACCACAAGCACAGCTCACAGATCTTGCAGCCAAACACTGCAAGGCTGCGATAAAGTGAAAATCATTAAATAAAAATGAAACCAATGAGCCTTGCTTGAGCTGCCATAAGTTTCAAATAATAATCAGCATAGGTGATTGAGATGAGTGAAAAACCTCAGGGAATTTGGCTTCTGTTTCTCCTGTCAGCCCATCTGTGAGCAAATGGTTATTATTTTGAATTTGTGGGTTATTAAAAGGAGTTGTCTTCTGTTTTCTCTTTTAACCTCTAAGGATTCGTTCTCACCACGTCTCTTTGACTGGGTGGTGCATGAAGTGGTCGATCAGTCAGCAAACATATAAATACGTTTGATGCTTGATATGCCAAGAACAAGGGGTCCTTCACCTTTGTCATGTGATACTGCTTCCATTTGGAGACATGGTCTTTAATATATTTGTTTTATGCGATTAAGTGGTTTTATGTTGGCTTAGGAATTCAGAGATCTTGAGTTTGATTCTAGGTTTTAGTCCTCATTTCACGCGTAACTGTAGTCAAGTTTAATTTCTCTATTCCTCAGCTGCAAAATGTAGATCATAATCATTGCTTCTGATCTGTTTACAGCAAGATTTATTTCTGACCATGTGTAGGTCCAGTGTTTAGTACCATGGAGCTCTACCATCATGTAGGTCTTGCAGGTAGTCTAGCCAATGCAGATAATAAGAAAAATACACACTTACACATACAGACTTAACATGCATATTCTGCGAGCATATGTGCTCATCAGCTTGCTTGAAAGTTCATGGGAAAAACTAAAGGGATGCTGATACAAAATGAACTGAGATTTAAGTTAAAGCAGGAATTATATAAAAAGTAGGCAGCAAATTTGATAGTTAAAAATCTCTCAATTTGAATAATTTTAGGGGGGGTAATTCACATAAATAAAATTCACATTTTTAAAGACATCTTTGACCTGAGTGCCCATTTAGCATTTGCAGTGGAAAAAGCTTCCTGGAAACACTGGGTATGTGCATGCTGTGTCCAGGCAGGGATCTTCCCTTCAACACTGCCTCTACCTGCCTCTGCTTATATATGCCTGACTTAGAAAAGCAGATATGAAGCCTCTTCAGAAATGTTCCCTCTCCAATTACTCTCAAGACATCCATTGTGCCAGGGAGCGGGGATGTGAAGCAACCCCAGAATAGCCTCCCTGTTGCATTTCCAGTGTTGGTGCAATTGGGTGGGAATGGATGTCTTCAGAAGTATCCTTCTCGGAGACATTGGGACCTGTCCACATTACAGTCGACACTGTCCATCTGTCCATCCATCCAAAATAGTTACACTGGCATAATTATACCACCTCCCTGAATGACACAAGCTAAACTCAGAAAAGCCCGGCTGTCTTTAAGATTTTGCCGGCATGGCTACATTGGCCAAGGGTCATGATCTTGTCTTGCCCTGCAGCCAACAAGGCTATGCCTGACAAAACTTTGTAGCGTAGGCCAGACTTGTGAAGACCTGTGCCATGCCAAGTAGTTATGGGCTGCAATCCCTCATCTTCTGTCTTGATTGTGCCGGTCTGTTTAGCTGTGCTCTTACTAGCAGTGAGCGTATAATACTGTTGAGTACAGAGAGTGCAGTCTGGTCCTCTGTCTTCTTGCATGCAGAGTCTCTCCAGGCATTTTCCAGTCTATAGGTGACATTTGGCACTCCTTCCAGCGAAGCATTTTGCCCTTGCTGCCATGTTAAAGCTGTGGCTTCTGTGACTTCTGTTTCTAGGCATTGGCTAGTTGTCATGGCTGACTCTTAAAAACAAAATACATCCAAAGGGCAGTAGCATCTCACCCACTACTGAGACAGTAGGAGGTTGGCTGCTTTTAATTGGTGCCATTGAGTGTTTTACTCCTTTGGCTTTTGCACACGATGAGTTTGCACATTTACATCTTTTTAAATTCATGTCCTGAAACGGAGGCGTATGTAGCGGTGTGTGTGTGGGGGGCGGGCAGTGTTATTTGTGCAAAAGACCTGCTTTCCCCTTCATCACCTACACCTAATGTCTTCATATGCTATAGGTCTCAATAGTGGTTTTTCATAGATTTCATAGACATCAGGGCTGGAAGGGACCTTGGAAGATCATCAAGTCCAGCCCCCTGCCCAAAGGGCAGGAAGTCAGCTGGGGTCATAGGATCCCAGCAACATAAGCATCCAGTTTGCTCTTGAAGGTGTTCAATGAAGGCGCTTGAACCACCTCCGGCGGCAGGCTGTTCCAGACCTTGGGGGCTCGGACAGTAAAGAAGTTCTTCCTTATGTCCAGCCTGAAACGATCTTGAAGTAGTTTGTGACCATTCGACCTCGTCATCCCTTGGGGCACTCTGGTGAACAAACGTTCCCCCAGATGCTGGTGGTCACCCCTGATAAACTTGTAGGTGGCCATCAGATCACCCCTGAGCCTGCGCTTTTTCAGGCTAAAGAGCCCCAGGGCTCTCAGCCTGTCATCGTAGGGTCTGCTTCCCTGACCTCTGATCTTGCGCGTGGCTCTTCTCTGGACTCTCTGAAGCTTCTCCACATCCTTTTTGCATTGTGGAGCCCAAAACTGGACGCAATACTCCAGCTGCGGCCTCACTAAGGCCGAGTACAGGGGGAGAATGATGTCCCGGGACAATGGTGTCCTTTGATACTGGGCAGTGTGCATGGGAGCTGGCTGCACAAGAAGCTCTAAACCGAATTGAGACTATCCCAGTTGATCTTTGCGGAGCTATAGCTGGTGAAAGAGGAACCATCCCTTTGATATCAGGGAACAGCTCTGAATAAACTTTTTTATTAGGAAGAACCTCCTCATTATGATGAGAGTTCAGGCTATGAGAAATAGGCTTTCCAGAGAGGTTGGGGAAGTTTATAAGAGCATTTTAGACACTTACCTAGGTTTTAGACAGGGATTATTTGAACACGAGCAAGTGGTTGGACTACAAGACTTCCTGAGGGTCCTTCCAGCTCTACTTTTCTGTGTGTCTATCAGTGGGGCAGGGAGGTCCATCGCAACCGGCTGCTGTTAAAAGTTTTCTCTTTGCCTATGATCAAACATGCCTTACATAAAAGGCAAGCTTTCTAGGGAATATGATAGCAGCCAGATTTTATGCATTATTACACTATTGTCATTTTGATCTCATGCTGGTTTCCCAGTGTGGTTTTAAAAATCAGAAGCCTGCAGTGATGGCCTTAAGTCCATATTTAGGCATTTAAATAAATAGTCTTCTTTTCAAAAGTAGAGTACCGAGCAGCTCAGACCGAAGAAAGGAGCCTTTTTGAGAACTCAGCAATTTTGAAAATTGGGCCGCGTCTTTAAGGGCCAAACCTTGGGCAAAAGGCTTGATTTTTGTTAAAAATCTTGTTCTGACCTGCTCTCCTCTCAGTTAGGCGAGCGCCAGTCAGAAACTAGAGTGCTAATCCGAATTGAGTTTCACCAGTATAAAAGGAGTGTGAACAGTAGTGGAATCAGGCCAGTTACATTAAATTATTAATACTGAGAGTCTGCGTGTGCAGTTTATTTTTTTGGCATCTCTGGACAGCGTTCCAACTCAAATTATTCCCTTTTAAAGTAAACCCTGTAAAAGCTCTTTTTTTCCCCCTCAGCTGTGTGTCACTTTTACGATATCTGCCAAAGGAGACATTATTTTCTTTCCAGGCCCTTCTTTCCAGGGCTGGCTTGCTGTGGAAGTCAGCTCTTGGGTTCACTGTTGAGGCATTGCTAAGTCTGAGTCGGTGCTTTTCGAATCCCTTCCCCTCCTCCGAATATCCCCTGTTTGCCTATCAGCACATTCCCCTTTCCAAGTGCTGGCATATCCACTGACCTAGATGGAAGGTCATCACCATCGCAGGTACATGGGAGGCTTTTGAAACATCTTGTGGCTTCAAGTGCAAGATCCCTCTGCCGGGTGAGGGAAGGGTCGTCCACGTAAATGAGAAGTCAAGGACACATGTGGCTGTTAGAGGGCAGGCAGAGTCTCGGGCCGAGAGTAGGAAGCGAAAGAGCAAACCCTGGAAATCATCCGTTCTTCCCTCATTAGCACAGATGCCAGGCTTCATCGAGGCATGGGGTAGCAGTGCTCTGCTTCCCAGGATCCATCACTGTAAGGATCCCTTGGCCCTCTTCGGGTAGCGGAGGGACTGAGACACCAAAATCCATTTGGAGCAATTGTGCAGACCACCGCTGGCCGGTGGGAGCAGACCCCATCCCCTACCACCCCACCAGGCAGCTGCCCAGCTCCTGTGAAAGAGGATTGGGATTTTGCAGAGGGACAGAGGTTTGCCTTCAGCCGGGGGTTGGACTAGATGATGTCCCGAGGGTCCTTCCTGCTCTACTTGAATACGACTCCCTTAGTGGTGGCTGCCGTCTCAGTGACGAGCCTAATCCACAACAGCGATTTCTCTGTTCCTGTATGCGAGTGCTACGTCAAAGCTCATGGGGGTCAAGTTCAATTTTGGAAAGATCGACGTGAATGATATTGAGCTTGTCGGGCAATGGACCCATACTTAATGAACAATAACTTTGTTATACAGAGGACCAGGGAGAGAATACTGTATTTTCTCATAGACATGTGCTGCTGAATAAAATATACATCTTGTTTTTGAAAGAATGAAGAAAAGGAGATCTTTCCATAAGAGCCCCCTGCCGGGGTGGGCGGTAATACCTGTTGTCACCATATTTCTTGATTATAATGCGCACACCAATTTCCAGCAGCTGAATAATGGAGGGGAAGTGGGTGTGTTGTACGTAGGAAAATACGGTATTTGTTTGATGTGGTCTATCTACAGAGATGGAGCAGAAGATTGTCTTTCCTTTCAATGCAACATAACCAACTCTTCCACGTTTGTATTTTTTCAGTGAGGCAAATCAGTCTGGTGAAAGGCCTGAAGCCAGTGGAAGTCTCTGAAAATGGAACAGCCACCTTCGAGGTCGAGCTGTCTCACGAGGACGTGGAAGGAACCTGGATGAAGGACAGCGTGAGGCTGAAACCAGGGGCAAACGTTGAAATGAGGGTCCAGGGGAAGAGGCATTTCTTGAAACTCTCTTCCTTGAAGCTGGAAGACGCGGGCCTCGTCTCCTTCAAGGCAGAAGGCATCCATACATCAGGGAGACTCACTATAAAAGGTATCCTGCCTCTGCAGTCTGGAGCTCTACCTGGCCCTGTGCCTCTAGTTCAGTGAGCACTGGAGCCATAGATGCATTACCAGTGATTGCATTTGTGTGTGCATGCATGTGTGCATGCATGTGCGTGTGTGTGTGCGCAAGAGAGATTCATCACTAGTAACTGATGTTTTCAGGGCCATACCTATCAGTGTTCTGCTTTTTAATGTTTTCAGCCAAAGCATCCCCCCCCACCACCTTGCAAGAGTTCAGCGTCAGGGACTGAAATGATTGGTGATTTATTTTATTTTTTTGGTCAGTATTGCCAAACTGTTTTTTTCAGGAGAATTTTTTCTTTGTTTGTTTTAATTAAAATATTTGGACATTTTCAAAGACGAAAATGGAAAAAATGACTTCCCGTTTCAAAATCTCCTTCAAGCTTATTTTAAAGAACGCTGAAAATTCAAATGAATTCATTTGGTTCAACTCAAAGGAAATCTTTTGTCTGAACTGATTATTTTTTAAAAACTTTTTAAGTTCCTCCTAACATTTTGAAACACTTTCTTTGGCTCAATCCAAAATGAACTTCATTTTTTTTTTTTTAATAAGTTGACAGCAGACTGAGACATCAGTTAGTTTTGCGACTCTGTTTTGCAGTTCGTGCCAACTGGATTTTATATTTGTACTCTATACTTAGACTCCTTATTTACTGTTGAGGTGCACAAGAAAATAAGAAAGCTGAGATGAATCACTACCCCTTCACACATGCCACATATCATCATTATCCATTATAAATATCTAGAATTTGTTTTGTGCTGTAGAGTATACAAAATAAGAACAAATCTTTCCCTTATTATGTACACAATTCCTACTTTCTGCTGATCTGATCTTTATTTAAATCTCTCCGGAAGATCCCCCCCCCACCCAACCCTCCTCTTTTCTGTGGCTACGAGTAACTTGTAGTAATATTGTTTCTGGGGAACTTTTGATCCTTTACATCTTTATGTATAGCCTTTAAGATGGGTTAGACTCGGAGAACAGTTATTTAACCACAATACTTGCTTATCATTCCTTGGGCCTGAGTCCAAGCAGCGATGGTATTTTCATTGAACAAAGAACAATTCATCATAGCAATGATATATATTATAGAAATTAAAAAAGGACTGTGAACCAATAGCAAGTGCACTCAACACAGTTTAATGATTTTTAAATAAAAAATAAAGAACCTGTTCAAGCCTCACTTGCCTCTGACTGTATTTTCTTTTGCTTTGCAGAATTACCTGTGAAAATAATCCAGCCTCTGACAGATGTGCAAGCCATTGCCAAGGAGGAGGCAAAGTTTGTGTGTGAGCTCTCCAGGTCTAATGCAGCTGTCAAGTGGTTGAAGGTACGAAGCTTGCAGCTAAAGTCCTGCTTCCAAATGTGATCCCTTTCCCCTGCAGACAGTGACTGAACTCAAAAGCAGCTGGAAGTGGGTTTTCTCTGCCATTAACCAAAGATCCTCAGCTTTCGTTACCTTCCCAGTGTGTCAGACTTAATCCGGGGATCATTTTACTTCCCGGATCTTTAAGGATGTTTCTATGGGGGCACAAGGTCAACTTCTCTGGACTGTTAACAGAGATTTGCAGATTTGTGTTGCATTTTTAAGGGGAATGCTGAGGAAGATCAGTCCAGGTTTCTTCTGCCTCCTTTATCTTTCAGGCAGTGTTACAGGTAGTTACAGTTCAGGACGAGCATCTTGGACTCTTGGGTTTTATTTGCACCCTGCCAATGGTCCTTTGTATGGCCTCGGGCTTGTTGCATATCTTTTAAACCCAGTTGATCCCTTTGTAAAACAGGGATAAAAGTGCCCTGCCTCAGATCTGTTACAGGGCTGCATTGCATGCTGTTTGGATAAGTACCCTTCATTTCTAGTGCAGCCAGGCATTTTAAATACATACTTTAGTCCAGTAGGCACCACCCTTTTGGGCAGGCATGCTACAGGTTAGCCCTGTATCCTCCCCAAGTGGCACTCTGCTCCTCTTCCTCTGCCCGGTCTGCTGCTCTGTTTCTGTTTCCTACTCTGCTCCTTGTGATCTCTTGCTTTGCTTTCTGCTTCCTGCCCTATGTTTCCTGCCTGATTTCCTGCTCTGCTTTCTCTCCTTTCTGCAGCTGTGCTGCCCGTCTCCTCCCCAATCGTCCACGTGCCACACATGCAGAGCTTGCTTGTGCTACTTGTGGCACCCATGCCACAGGTTGATCCCTGTTCAGTGCAGCACTTATACATGTGTTTTACTGTATATCTGTGCTGAAATCCCACTGGAGTCAATGAGAAATAAGTGCATGTGCAAAGTAAGGGACAAGCAGTGATGCCCCGCCATTGGTCCTTTTCTTTTAGGATGGATCTGAGTTACGGCAAGGTAAAAAAATGGGAATTACTTCCCAAGGAACTAAGCGAAGCCTCATTATTCACAAGTGTGAATGTGATGACCAAGGAACCTATGTGTGTGATGCAAGGGATGACAAGACTTCAGCTAACCTAAGGGTCCACGGTAAGTTTGGCTAAAAGAAGCAATGCCCCAGATGTGGAGTGTAGTTGCATTATTTGACAGCCAGATCAGGACAGGGGTCACTGGTGATTGAGATCAGCTTTCCCTTCCCAGTGAGGAAATGCCTAGAGCATTCTGCCTTGTTTGCATTTTCCCTGAATAAATAGGTGTCAACTCTTTCTTCCAGGCCTCATGGGAATCAGTCATTTTCCTTCTTATTTTTAACCTTTGTCCTTAGATTTTTATAACTTACAGGTGATGACAAGTGAGTGGCAAGATAGCAGAATACCATCCTACCTAGCAGTGGGCTAATGACCAAGACTAGCACATTCAAGTCCAGCTTTCTCCCTTGAAGCAGAGGGAGTTTGCCTAAGTAAGAAGTGGATGGAAACGGAGTTGGGACCTCTGCATTTGTCCCCCTTTAAGATAAGATTAGATGAGGTAATACCATCTCATGCTTTAGGAGTTTAGCTCATTACTTTGCTAAGGGGAGCTTTTGTCCTCTATGCACAGCCCTGTGATGTTTAAGAGATACCTGATGCTACTTCCCACCTTCTTCTGAAGCTTCAGATGTGAACAGCAGGCTACTGGATTGATTGTAATAGGGGTCTGGAAATACCACTTCCCAGCTACATATATAGCAGCCTCTTTTTATTTCTTGTTGTGTGCTGCCATCGTGCGGTCACTCACGTTAAGCTGAATTGTTTTTCAAAATGTTCCATTCCTGCCCTTTATTAAACTCCCTTTTTCTTTTTGAGTAAATGCATTGGATCTGTTGGAGCTTCAACGCTAGCTTGCTTGCCTGTGAGCCCAGAAAAGAAACAGTAGACAGATAAGATTCATTCAGGGCGTATTGGGCATTTCCCTAAGCACTGTGAAAGGATACAATGGACAAGAAAGGAGAGGATGGCGTTGCTTGCAGAAGGGTCTCGCTCCAGTGTTGCTAGAACCGAAATCAGAAGCAACCGGTGTTTGAAAACCTGCACGACTGAGATCACAAGCAAGCTTCAGGACTAAATTTGGGCTGATAGCTGTTATCTTTCTAAGTGGAAGTTATGCTTTTCATTATGGTTATGAAAAACCAACTGAGGCCACTCACATAACTTGCTGGAAAGGAGAGTGCTTAGATGGAATAAGCTACCTTTCCCCTCCCTCGGAGTTGGGCCTCGCTGCGTGGCAGACCCGTCTCTTTCCACAGATTAGGTTGTTCTCGTGTGAACTGGTTTCTTGTAGCTTCCAGGACACGTTGCTGAAGAGCCATGGATCATTGAGCTGTTGGGAAGCCCTGTTCGCAGCCAGTTTACATAGGCTACATCTGCTGTGATAGATGCAGGAAAGAAATATTACAGGAGTCACTTTGCTGGCCCTGAACCCTCAGGCAGCTCTTCCAGTAGACAGCTATTTCATAGATTTCATAGACATTTGGGCTGGAACGGACTTTGGAAGACCATTGAGTCCAGCCCCCTGCCCCAGAGGCAGGAAATCAACTGGGGTCAAAGGATCCCAGCAAGATAGACATCCAGGCTTCTCTTGAAGGTGTTCAAAGTAGGTGCTTGAACCACCTCTGATGGCAGGCTATTCCAGACCTTGGGGGCTCGGACAATAAAGAAGTTCTTCCTTATGTCCAGCCTGAAATGGTCTTGCAGGAGTTTATAACCGTTCGACCTTGTCATCCCTTGGGGCGCTCTGGTGACCAAACGTTCCCCCAGATACTGGTGAACACCCCAGATAAACTTGTAGGTGGCCATCATGACCACTGAGCCTGCACTTTTCCAGGCTGAAGAGTCCCGTGGCTCTCAGCCTCTCCTCATAAGGTCTGTTTTTCTGACCTCTGACCATGCGCGTGGCTCTTCTCTGGACTCTCTCAAGCTTCTCCACATCCTTTTTGAATTGTGGAGCCCAAAACTGGATGCAGTACTCCAGCTGCGGCCTCACCAAAGCCGAGTACAACAGGAGAATGACGTCCCGGGATTTGCTTGAAAAGCATCTATGGATGCAAGCCAGCCTTTTGCTCGCTTTACTAGCCACAGCATCACATTGAAGGCTCATGTTCATCTTGTGGTCAATCCTGACCCCCAAGTCCCTCTTGTTCGTTAACTTGACCTCCACTAATAGTGCAAAGCAGCCACAATACAGCCTAGGAGTAGGCATTGGGCCTGTGCCTTTAGTGAGTTACAGGTTAAGATGCACGTTGGCATTGTACAAGTTCCTTCAGCTTGCTCAGCTAATGCTCAACTTCATCCTGACGTGCAATGGAAACCATCTTAAGGCTCGCGATCAGGTGATTAAGTTTCTCTGGCAGATGACTCCTAGGCTTCTTCATGCCAGCCCTAATCATGACAAGCTCACATTACTGTAGATAGCATTCTTTTATTTCTGTTTGTTTCTGACGGGGAGACAGGTTATGATAACCAACCAACATCTGTCTGCTAGAAGAGGGGTGGGCAAAATGTGGCCTGCGGGCTGAGTGCAGCCCATCAGGCCATTGTATCTGGCCCATGGGGCCCCTAAAAAATTGAAAAAAATAATATTTAGCTGCCTCTGGCTGCCTGTCATGCGGCCCTTGATGGCTTGCCAAAACTCAGTAAGTGGCCCCTCACCCGAAATAATTGCCCACCCTTGTGCTAGAATGTCTTTGTATTCTCTGAAGCCTGGAAAAGGTCCTACAAGGAATTGTGCTAAGGGCCCAAGTGTCCATTTAGCACCAAATTGTACCCTGTTTTATGACCCACTTTGCTCCACTATGTATATTGACATGGATCCATGGATAAATCCATGTATCAATAGTATCTGCTAAATATGTCTATCATGTCCTGTGAAATACGTGTATATGTGATAACATATCAATAGTAGCTGTGATATTTATCACACCCTAGAAGGAGATGCAAAGTAGCAAGGAAGCAGCTTTAGATTAAAATGTAAGATCTAATTGCATTGTTTTCAAAGCCTCTGTGTTAGAAGATAATTGAATTCTGCAAAGTTATGAAGGAGCCAAATATTAACTTGCGTCTATTATTCTGTAGCCCGAGATATCAAGATCATTAAACCACTGGAAGACGCGGAAGTGAGTGAAAAGGAAAGCGCAACTTTTGTGTGTGAGATCTCGCATGATGAGGTTCAAATCCAGTGGTACAATAATGATGTCAAACAGAAGGCCAGTGACTACATCAAGATGCGTCAAGATGGTAAGGTGTAAACATGTGGTATCATGGTTTGTGGTTCACATACAGGACATGGGTTGACATAGGACATGTGGGTACATGCTTGGGGGATATATGGCAGAGAAAAGGGAAAGGACAGATGGCAATAGGCTTTGAGAACAAAGAACTGACTCCTACTATTTGGTCAAGGAGTTTCTGCTTGTGACAAGTGTGTTATGGGTCTCAAACGAGTATCAACCAAGTGGGACCAGGACTGTAGTGTAACGGCTGCATGGTCATCTTCCATGATGGAGGGTGTCAGAACAGTTCACTCATTCCTGATCAGGCAACAAACTCAGGTCTTAGGGGGGAGAAGCAAACACTTACCTACACTGGACTCTGGAAACAGCCATCTCCATTCTTCTCCAGTCATCACGCAAAAGGGGCTCCTAGCTTCTCGAGTGACTCAGGATGAAAATGTGCATGTATGCAAATGAGAGGGATGGGAGAACATTGATGCGAGTTCAATGACCACCAGTTTTAAGCAATATGAATGTGGTGCATTTTATCAAAGACACAAGGAAACGGATGGATGTTTAAATACATGTGAGCAGGTCTGCATGTGCAATTAAGGTGACTGAAAAATAGGGGTGTGTGAAATGGGCTGTATTCGATTTGGATTTGGATTTGGATTTGGCCTGAATCGGGGACGGTGATTCAATTTGTTGATTCAGATTCGGCCAAATCTGAATCTGAAGATTTGATGCTGATTCAGAGAATCAACAATTCGGACATAGATGCAGCTTTAAATGTTTTTTCTACTTACCTCAAGGTACCAGGAGTGGCTCGTGAATACTGCAATGCTGGGGCAGATGGAGCATCCCACAGGAGCATGGCGGGGCCTCCCACGTGCTCGGCAACAAACCCAGAAGTAGACTGGACGTACTTCCGGTCCACTTCTGGGTCCGCCACTGAACACGCAGGGGTGGTGGGCCCTGTGCACCCCCTGGCTCAGCGATCAGCTGCAAGGGGACCCCAGATGTCCTCCCAGACCCAGAAAGTACCAGTCGCCAAGCTGGGAGGCTGCCCCCGCATGCTCCCCGGTGGACCTGGAAGTGGACTGGGAATGCGTCTGGTCCACTTCCAGGTTTGCTGCTGAGTGCGCTGGGAAACCCCCCGCGCTCCTGCGGGACGCTCCATCCGCCCCACCATCTCAGCATTCACAAGCTGCCTGCTACCTAGAAGTATGTATAAAAAACTTTTAAAGCTGTGTCTATATCTGAATCGACGAATCTTTCCGAATCTCTCCTGATTCGATTCAGATTCGGAGACTCAGCCACTGAATCAGGCCAAATCTCCACCAAATCGAATCAGGGACCGAAGCTTTGCACAGCCCTACTGAATAAACTCCAGTGCAATTTGAGCCAGAGTAAACTAATCCAGATGTCATTGTCTACACATGCATTTAAGTGCAGTAATTTACTTTGCTGTCAGATAGTACTTGTGTCTGATAGGACTATCCAATGGTGCAGTAAATTAGTCCACACTAACCTAATTGCCACGCGCGTTTAGACAGTGATGCTTTACTGTGCAGCAATTTAGTCTACTGCGCAGTAAGGCATATGTATAGATGTGCCCTGTATGTACATCTCTTTCTAACTCAACTCTTTTCCAGATGGTTATTCAGAACTGGGGAGCCACTTGTTCTGGCGGGATTCAAGTTTACTTTCCTATTTAGTACATAAAAGTGTGCTTATTATGAGGCGGGATCAGGTTCTCTGTTGTCAGAAGTGGGCACCAGTTCATTGTAGCTAACGTTGCTTAGACCAGCAACTTTCAGGGTCAAAAGAAAACTGTCTTCTCATTGTGGGTTATGTGTGGTTGTGCATTTATTCACAGGAAGGACCCATTCATTGAGTTACTTGCTTTGCCATATGGAAGATGCTGGATTGATCAAATTTGTAGCAGAAAACGCAGAATCTCGAGCACACCTGAGAGTTAACGGTAATTACAGCAGAAATGACAGCATGGCTTAAAGAGCTGTTTGTTGCAAATTAACTAACTCCCATCAATGTCAGTAGGACAAGAGTGAATACCTTCAGAAATCCTAGCCTGGCTCCATTAAAAAGAGAACGGGAAAAAAATGTAACCCCTTGTCTGCATTTCCTCTTGCAAAATATCAAGCTCTTTGCTAGGTAGTCTCCTTTACTAAATAATGTACAAGTTCTTTGCAGCATGGACATTTCTTTTCTTTTCTTTTCTTTTCTTTTGAGAAGGCATTTCCATGCTATAGTTTCACATTTGCCTGGCTAGCACTGTCTCTCACTGCCATGCATTTGAGCATAGAGTATTTGGTGTCTAATTTAAACAGCAAGTTACAAAGGAAAAGAAAGGGTGGTCAGACAATTAGTACATGAACCTAGGACCCAGGCCATTTGGGTTCAGTTCAAAATCCCCATGTTATCTTGGGCAAGCTGCTTTAGTCTCTTTGGCCTCCGTCTGTAAAATGGGGATAATTACACTGTCTTTCCCCATCTCTTTTTCTCATTGTGTCTTATTGTACCGTATAGCTCAAAAGAGTCCCAATCACAATCCAGTGAATCAGTAATGATAAAGGACACGTCACTAGTGATTTTTATCCAGCACCATCCAGTTGCAATCCCACCAACTGTTTTCTCTCCTTTTCCTTAGCACTGCCTATAAAAATCCTGAAGCCGTTGCGGAATAAGATTGCTTTGGAGAAACACCGGGGTTACCTGGAGTGCCAAGTGTCTAGCCCCACTGCCCGTGTTAAGTGGTATAAAAATGACATCGAGATCTGCCCTGGCCATAAATTCGAGTTTGTGAGTGACGGCGTGTACAGGACACTCATCATAAATGATGCGACTTTTGCAGATGAGGACGTTTACACGTGCGATGCCATCGATGACAAAAGCAGCGCTTATTTCTATGTGGAAGGTACCTGGCCATTTTTTCAAGTGCTTATTGAAGGCATGTAGATAGGTCCTGACATCTGAATATGCCATGAAGGGAATAGGCCTGCAACCTTGCTTTCATTTCTGGGCTTTGCCCTAGATTCCCAGTCTGATCAGTCCTAGTAACATGTTTTCCTATACACAAAAAAAGAATGATGTTTACATCTCTCCATAGGATGGTTTAAAGCTTACGGCACCAATAGTCTTAAATGTATTGATTAGGCAGTAGACACTAATGAGAACGATGAGCACGAAACAGTCATTTCCTAAATCCATGCTTTAATATGTCCCTTTTCTTGCTTTTCATCCCTCACACCAGAGCAATCCATCAATATTGTAAGGGAGCTGACTGATGTGGACGTGACAGAGCCATGGGAAGCTAGGTTTGAGTGTGAGATTTCCATCCCAGCTGTGAAATCTGCCAAATGGTTGCTAGATAAGCAAGTCTTGCAGGCTGGCAGAAACATCACCATTGAGCAAGAAGGCACCGTCCATCGGCTGATTCTGTGGAAGACCAGTGCCGACATGACGGGCACCGTTCAGTTTGCAGCCGGCAAATCAAAATCCACGGCTAACCTGCTTGTAAGAGGTGGGCTTGTGATCAGGAATTAATTGAATCATGCCATAGCTGCATTTGCAACCTTTTCTCGTGCTATTGAAAAATAAATGTTCAGCTTAGCTTGCAGCTGTGCGTATGCACGGTTTCCATCAATTGGACCCCTTAAAGTGCCATTTTAACTACCCATTTAAATGCCATTTTAAAAACAGGCAAGGCCTTTCTGTGATATCTTTTATTGACCAGGTGCCCAAAAGCTTGTCCAGCAGCTGTTCCTCAATAAAAGATATAAAATAAAACCCCTTGCCTCTTGACATATCTCTGACCATCACAGCTACAGCGCTCCAGCAAGTCTCAAAGTGGTGTGTTAGTTCAGCCACAATTACTGGACTGAATACAAGAATGACAGAGCAGAGATATGTGGCTTGTGTTTGGCAGGAGGGCAGATTAGATGATCAGATCAGTGTTTTTGGCTTTAAAAATCCATGACTAATACTAGTACAATTGCAGTTAGATCCCATATATTTGCAGTACATAACGCGATTCAGATAATGGGAAACTGAGATCATCCATGAGTCTGAACTTAAAAAAAAATATTCGTATATAAAGTTAAGAAATAATTTCCAATTTAAATGCACAAAGAAATAAAAGAAGGGAGGTAATTGTAACTCAGGGTCAGCTGTCACACTTTTTGTGCACATCTCCATTTCCTGCTTTTATTCTGGATCAGAAATACAGATGCACTAAAGTGGAGGCTCTTCCAGATTACTTATTTTAGTCATTATAGGACACAGAAAACATCTGAAATGTCCCAGGAGCGCTTGTTTTTGTAGGCTTCCAGTCCCATTTCTTGAATCGAAAGGTTCAGTAGGAAGTCTTGAAGTCCAAAGAGTTCATCCAAAATCTATTAACTTCAATGAGATCTCTTTTATATTACCAGATGAAAACATGTCTCGTCTTCAGGCTTCACTTACCCTTTCTGCTTTCGCAACCCTCTTTTGCAGAACTCAACGTGCAGATCACCCGGAAGCTGGAAGACAAGACTGTCTTGGAGCGCCGGTCCGTCATCCTGTCCTGTGACTTCAAGCCTTCTCCAAAGATAATAGAGTGGTTAAAGGATTACATCCCCATTGAACCCTCTGACAAGTACAAGATCACCCGGGAAAAGCACTCGGCAGAACTCAAAATTGTCAAAGTGAGGCCTGAAGATGCCGGCGTGTATACGTGCAAACCCGGAAACGCAGTGACCGAAGCCACGCTGACCGTGGAAGGTATGACTTGGAGCAGGGTGGGAGGTGGGGTATTTTCTTATTGGGCCACAAGGTATCTTGGCTTGATGTGTCCCTTAGGCTTTGCAGAGACATCCTTAGTTTCTACCAGTTTTCCTTAACAAGTTCAATATAATTTGGGCAAAGTGCTATTTTGTAAGTGGAAGATAATGTCTGTGGTAGGAGCTGTACTAGCAGTCCAGGCAATCAAAACCTAGTTCTCGGCCATACAACAAACATATCACATGTAGGTGCAGTGCTTGTATGATAGCCTGGGTTATGGCAGTGTATCATGACTCTTTTCAGTGGCTCACCCCTTAAAACTAGACCAGTCAGGTACACATAACTACCAATATTTTAATGTAGTTAAAGCACTACAGGCTCTGCTTCTTGGTGCTGGCTGGATTTGATCCCTGTAAAACATGGCAGCATCTGTTTATATTTTCCATATGTCCATTATTTGTGCTTTTGCTATCCTGTATCAAGCATCCTCCTCCATCTGGAGGATACCGAGTAAGGTAATTCCTTGTCCTCTAGTTTGTAGCTCAATCCAGGAACATCCCTGTCCAAATCATCCTAGACAAGTGTTTGCCTAACCCATGCTTAAAAATGTTCACTGACAGAGCTTCCAGTCTCTCTAGGTAATTTGTCCTAGTGCTGAACTACCCTCAGAGTTGAAAAGCTCTTTTTAATATCCAATCTAATCCTCCCTTGACATTATTTAAAGCCATCACTTCTTGTCCTGTCTTCTGTGGCACCTGATTGCCATCTTCTTTATAACAAACCTGTTTTGTAAATGAAGTCTATTATCAAATCTCGGCCTAAGTCTCCAGATTAATAATATAGGTCCTGGACTGATTTTAAATACATCTTTGAGCAGCCTTTTATAATACTGGGATGTTACTGACTTCTGACAATTTAAGAGTAAAATGTGCCATACCCTCAACTTTGCAGAACTATCCTGGCTTCAAGGAAGATGGTTTTATGGTTATGCCACTGGCGTGTGACTCCAGATCAAAGGGGTTCAGTTCCCATCTATATGCCACAGACTTCCTCCGTGACCTTGTGCAAGTCACTTTGGGCCAGATTCAGATTGACCTCATAGGTGCCTCCAATTTAGATTTCAGCACGCTTAAAAATCAGGCACCTTGCCCGAGGTGGGGAGGGTGATGCAAAAAGAGGGAGCCTAGGATCTCAGTACAGCTGATTGGGAGAATAGGCAACTCTGAAGGGTAATTCGGAGCACCTTGGCACGGAGTGGGGAACTGCCTAAAACTAGCTACTGGCAAATGCTAAGCACAAAGCCCAGCCCTCCCATGGGGATTAATTCCCCAAATTAATCCCTGAATTAAGTGTGTGCTAGTCACTACTGCTAATTTAGGGTCCAGAGCACCTACCTTCCTAAGTGGCATGGAGCTGCTTCCCTTTTCCACTGCAGCCTCCCTGTTAGACCATTTCCCCCAAAATAGGAGACGTGGCTTCTAGGTCCTCTTCTGCCTGAGGGGGTTCAAATGTTCATCTCCCACCTCCTGAGAGACTGCCCTCAACATCAGGCTAGGGAATAACCCTACTGCTCCTGTTGAAGCCAGGCTGTTGGGTCAAAAGTAATGCAAGAGTCATGGGGTTTGGGGGAGAGTAAGCAAGAGGGAGCCTGACTCCCTGATGCAGCCGTGGTGCTGCTCAGCTGGTCGGAGGGGAATATGGGCCCTGCTCTTATGGCTGTTTCTGTCTTTTATCTAATGAAGGTCTAACCCTTCATTAAGGTATCAACTTAAATTGGAGCCCCAGGACAGATCTGGTTAGTTTGGCTCTTTGCAGACCGTAGTGGTGATGCTGGTAGCAGAGGCAGCATGGTTGTGACTAGCACAGCCACCGCGGTGGCAGTGGAGCAAGCAGCATCAAGGCGGGTGAGTGGTAGTGGGTCGGGCAGCCACGGAGTGAGCAGGGGTGGGTTGCACAGCCCTTGTTCATGCTACAGCTACTGGGGCCACAGATTGTGCTGCAGCTCTTGCTCACTGCTAGCCACACACGCAAATTCCCTGGCCTACCAGTAGCCCAGCTGGCCAGAGGGAGTAGCTCTACAGGGTGGATCCAGTTGGTCAGCTATAAATTTGACATGTCAGGTTTAATGTACGCCTTAATCTCTGAGCAATCTGTGAATGGTTCGTGATGACGATGAGCATGTGCCTTTTGCTTCTCGCAGCTCGGATGGTGGAAATAATTCAACACCTGCAGGACGTGGAGGTCGAGGAGGAGGACTGCGTTATCTTCTCCTGCGAGCTGTCTCATGACGATGAGGACGTGGAATGGTTCCTCAATGACACCCTCCTCTACAGCAACAATTACAATGAAATCAAGCAGATCGGAAGGTGCCACACGCTGACGATGAAGCAGGTGAAACCGGAGGACGCGGGAACAGTGACCATCAAATCTGAGAAGATCTCGGAGAGCGCTCAGCTGAAGGTGATAGGTGCGTCATGGCCACAACCCTGCAAAATCATTTAGGAGCATATATATGAGCTAGAGAAGAGCTATTCACTCTCCCTGCCCCCATCCTTCCAGTGCAGCATTGCTTCCTATAAATCTTGTCCACTCAAAGTCTGCATCATTCAGAAAGGAGGGTTTTATCACTTCCATAAATTTGGTCTGTTTGTTTGGATATCCTGCCAGATTTTTCCCCGTCATGCAGTTCAAGACCTAGTGCTAGACAGCTGCACAGACCAAATGAGATGGAGTTGCCTCAAAGCTGCATGCATGAGACAGGGTGTTAAGACGCACTGCAGATAACGCCCGCTCATGAAGATGCAGAGCTGCCCCCTCACTTCCTCTGTCCTTCCACCAA